GAAACTTCATATTTTAGTACAGAGTCCTGTCAGAATATATTAATGTTACCGTATTTTCTCTGAAAACGCGAAATTAAATTTTTGTTTAATTCTTGATTACCCAGTTCCTGTTGAAACTGATCTATTAAAAATTAGTAAGTGAAAATTTAATAGGCGAAATAAAATTTGTCTCTTAACTTCAAGTTCGCCCATTAATTTATAGCGGTTAAAAATAAAAACTTACACTAGTTTGTGATTGTTGGTTCAATTTCCCATGCTTTGCCAGATATTTGTGTGCACGTGCAAGTAACATCACGTTGTTACTATCGTTATTTTACGTGTTGTGGGAAATATTTTCGTTCAAATCTAAAGCCTCACAGTTGATCTAGCCTGCGTGGCAGGCGTTTGAAAGGGAAGGGAAAGGGAGTTTTAGGGGCTAGAAAAACGATAGGGGCGCGCGCCCCGGCCCTCGCCTTTCTCTCGTGCCTAAAACCACTTTCCCTTTCCTTTCAAACGCCTGACACGCAGGCTACAGTTGATCCAATTTAGACTGCAAAACGGTCGGTTTTTTTCTCAAAATCAGTAAAGAAATCGGTAAAGCGTGGCGTAAGAGTCTTACGCGCACGAAGCGCGCTAGCCTCACACGCCCGTGGCGTCTCTCCCCAGTCTCGCTCTCTGTTTTCAGTCCCATTCCAGACCTTTTGTTTGACTGCTCGCGCGTACTTGAATACGCAAAAATACGGACTGTTTTGCAGTCTAATCCAATTTTATGTTTCCCAGAATCTAAGGGCAAAAAATAATCATTGATTGAATTACTTAAATCGCACGTGTGCCGGAAGCGGCCTATCATGTGATTCTAAGATCATTCATAAGATGATTCTATAACAAACAAATCACGAGTTTCAACATGTTCAAGAGCATGACATCAGTGTGACATCTGTCCCACAGTCCTACATCTTATGTCGAGTCTTTCTCTAGCGGCTGCGTTGGTGTTTGAGAGCGTTTTAAAAGAGAAGAGCTAGCATAAATCTGGTGACTGTTGTTTGCATGTGCTTGCGCGACCAGTTTATTTACATGCTGTGACCTGTAACACGTTGGTACCGAAGCAAGTTGAGGGTTTTGTGTAGAGCCCAGCCGGGAAACCATACCTGCATAACGGGCGCCTTGCCAAGTTAGGCGAACGCAGCATTTTGCGCGAAGCGCGAGATGAGCTGTGGGGCCAGATGCTATTTGACTTGTAACTGCTTGGTTAGGAAACGATAGTGTATGCACCTAAATTAGTACTACTCTGAACATTTCGCGAAAAATTTTCAAATGACAATACACATCGATATTGGCCCGGAAAACGTCTGTAAGATTTGATATGACAGTAGGTGATCATGAGTCATGTGATTAGATGAATTCATGCGATCGTTCATTTTTTTTTTTTGCGGATTTTTGTTTGGATTTAAAGGCCGAGAAGGCGAATGCGTGAGGACCGTTCATTATTCTTATCGTGGTGGGTTGTGAGCAGCCCCACCCCAGTGGGAGTAATGTTGAAATTGTCCCTGTATTTTAAATAGCTTGCATGGAGAAACTTCCTTTTTCCCTTTTTTCATCTGAAAAACAAATTTCTCAGTTTTTTCCTTTCTGTTGTTCTTGTTGTTTTTTTTTTCTAGTAAATGTGCATTTCGTACACAGCTCTCTGGCTTGGTTTTCGTTAGTTTGCTGTCCTTGATGAAAGATCATGTTGGTGATGAACACATAAAACGATAACATGAAAGAGTTTTTGATAGTGACATTATTATTGACACTCTTTGTGGCGGATCTTTTCTTCCTTGTGTCTTTCCTGGGGTCATTTGTATAAAGGAGGCTTAGATTATAGACGAATGAAAACAAGGAGATTGACCAGGCTTAGCGTTTACGTCGAACGTAAAAATGTATGCAAGTGGTACCTGGTTTATTTTCATGTGGGAAAGTTGCTTTGAAGCTTTTTTTTTTACCCAATTTTTTTTTAACATTGTCAAGTCAGTATTGTTCTACTCTGGGATGGTAACGAGAGAAGTTAAAAGTGGACAGCGGGATTTTCAAGATGGCGCAACCGGAAGAAACTCGATAGCATTTCGTACCGTTTTGTGCATGTGACGGGAAAAGGCCGGAAAATCACGGGGAAATAAAGGTTTACACTATTCCCGCCGGTCCCACCTTGTCTAAGACCCGCCCTTGGGGAAAGGAAAGGAAATTCCAAGATCTTTTTTCATTATTCAATCTCCAGAAATGTTCTATTTCCGGTTAAAGAGTTTTAATTTTATAAAGTGACTTAATAATGATGTCATTATAATAGAAAAATCGTGTTGTAACGAACTCTCACTCGTGGTCACTCGTGGTCACTAGTGCCTCGTGGTCATTCGTAGTCACTCGTGGTCACTCGTGTGTACTTTTAGATACAATCGAGTCCAACATTTTCACGAGCAAATTCCGTTCTTGACAGTTTCTTAAAACCCTTGGGTTAATTAGATTAACTCGTATTCTCTCATACACGAACCAGGCCCGAAAGCAGCAAATTCCAAGGCTCTCACGCATGCAAACTGCGTGACAATACAACTCACAGTTAGGGCCTGATCACATGAGTCGGGCTGGCCCGGTTTGTCAGGCTGGCTAGCTCTGCCAAGGTGACTTTAATTTCATGAAAAGCGCCAGCCCGGAGCCGCCATTTTTATAGAAATTGGAAGCAATCCACATGAGCAGAGCAGTGTGTTACCCTCTCCCCTGTTTCTTGCTGAGTTCATTCGTCGGGCCGCCCGGCAAGTGTGATTTAATACTTGGAAAATTTCCACCCGGGATCCCGGCATCACAATATTGGGATTCCAGCTAACGGAGCTCGCACGGCTGTCATATAATTGCAAAGTTGATTTTTGAAGGTGCCGAGATCTCTGCAAAGCTAACCATCCCGGCTCATGTAATCAGACCCTTTGTTCTATAACCAGATTCTACGCCCTCTCCCTTGACCTCACCGATTTTTCAAAGACTCCGAACACACACACAAAATTTCACCCTCCCCCACATCTTCATTCCCGTTCTCTATATTAAATGAACTTTCCCTTATCCACGTTCTCTCCATACAAATATTATCAAAAATAACCGAAAACCAATCCTAAACAGAAAGCCTAACAACGTTTAAAATAAGTACAAGTATGTTTTCGAGAATTGATAAGATCTTTAAATAGCACCACTTCATTTCAACAGATAAAAACTACACTATCCCTTCATAACCAAATTAGCACTCCCACAACTACCTCACTGCAACACCTAAAATCACTTTTACCTTTTAATTTTTTGTTATATCTTATATATTAAATTCTACGAGAAACCAGTTTCACTGATTAACAAACTACAGCCATTAACTTACCAATCCACGTCCAATACAACTCCACGCCTTCCACTTCATACATCTCACTAATCCCTAAAATATACAACGCTACTGCACTACTCACACATCCCTGATACACATAAAAAACCTTACACACGCGTAGTAAATTGACGCCCAAATATACGCTCCCACAGCGTCTTGTCTGACATTAGTTTGAGCCTCGACTAGTCCAAGCTCCAAGATAGCAGTGCAGTACGTTGTGCAGTAAAAAGTGATGGGAAAAAACCGCGCGGGGGCTACAGGGAGAGAGGACACCACCAACTCCTTCCCTAAGTCGCAGGTAGTTATGCGTCAGCATTTTGAGCCCCTTTGGTGGATTCCCTTTGGATTCCCTCGCAAAAAGTGGATTCCCTTGATTACTTATGCAGGATTCCCTCGCGAAAAAATGCGTTTCTCTATATATAATTAAGTGCCTTCGTTCCTTCACATATAATTAAGTGGATAGTCGTTTCTTTTCTTTTGGAAGAACACAATAGGAACAATAGGCTTTGTCTAGACTTGCCCGTTAAGCAACTTGAGCCCGGTTTACCGGAACGTCCATTAAAAGGAAAATAGGAGCGATCACCTAGCAACGCGAGAAACGGCTTCTGTCTTCTTATTTAGCGCTAAAAACTCGGATATATAAAAACAAAACATACACAAAGAAGAACTGAAAACTCTATTTCAATTTTGTCTGACTATTACAGAACCGTTTTCTCCTATCTATCTCGAAGAAATGAAAAACAATTGAAGTCTCAGCGTTTCACGTACCGTTAGTCAGATAATTATGTGAGTTCGCAAACCCACCGTTGCATACAAATTAGTTCTACGGGAAAAACCCATGCAAGAGAGAAGAAAAAAAAGGCTTGACGTATTAGTATAAAAGCAATTTAAAACAACTTAACAAGGATCAATTAAAACACGCGACTGATAAATGCTAGCAATAAAATCAGACACGAGATACCGTTTTTTTAAGATTGAACTCAGGCCGTTTTTCCGGACCAGGTCATTCCGGCAATCATGGAGATGAAAAGATACTTGAAGCGAAACCGCTGACATTTTTGTGAAAATATTGGAAATGATTGACATCGGGTGAGACCAGCATTGCAGTGTTTAGACATCACGTGCCTTTACATACTATCCTTTCGACTAAAAGATTTTTCACAGACAGAACAGAACAAACTCATGTCAACTCTTCAGGAGCAAAATGTAGACTGAGAAAGAGGAAGAATGTTGAGCATTTATATAGGTTTACAAGCATAAAATTCCAATGTTTTCTCCCACCACCACCACCACCAAATTCAGTATTGTTTTCCCTCCACCACCACCATCACCACCGCCACCACCACATTTCTACATTCACTAGTCCAAGTCTTATACAACTGGAACACATTTCCATCCCCGAAGAAAATAAGCGGATATTGCTACCATATAAGGACGCTTTACTTGACCTGGCCAGACCGAATGTCCCTCACAAAACAAAGAAGCGAGTCCTTGTACAAGAGGTTAGTGGTTTTATTGAAGATGTATTAGCCCCTGTTGTATCAAGCTTGGAATTTTTAATGCGATAAAAGAGGTGACGCAAAGGCAAGTTGATCATTCTAAGCTACCTCTCTCACGGGTACTCATCAAGATGAAGAGAAAGATAGATTTGGTTGAAGAAGAACACGAGAGTGTACATGAAGAAAGAGAAAGTTCTGGTGATGAAAGTGAGGATGTAGAACCAAGAATAAAAGATGTTTTGAGACATCTTTCCCGAGCGGTAGCGGAAAAGAGTGCTTCTGATTTGCTGCATCGTATGGCCGCGTCCAAAGATATTCTTTTCTGGACTCCCCGCGGACAATTACTTCAAAATACACGCATTATTCCCGTCACAAACATCGCCTAGCTAGTTGAGTGTATGTTAGTCCCTCATAACAATGAAGTTAACAAGCCTTGAGGGCTGAATAAGTTTCTAGATGGACTTGCAGAGTTAGGAATCGATAAAGGTTTAATCAAGAACAAAAAGTTGTTAAGTGATTTAATAGAAAAGGAAAAAGGCTACCGAAATACCGAAAATACTTCCGAGAACGAGAGTAATAATGAGGGGAGTTCATCGCATATTGAAAATCAGGAGGAGGAAGTGGCCTCTAGAATGGTATTGCAGCTGAAGGCACCTAAGAGAGCGACAATGACACTGAGAACGACAGTCAGGAAACAGAAAGCAGTAGCTCTGAAACGTCCACCACCTTTCACTCTAAAGGTCCCTGTGAACATTGCGTGAACTTCAATGTGTACTGGACATTGATCATGAAATGTCCTAAATGCTTTTGGCACCTTTACTACAAGATTTGTCCTATATGCGATCACCAGATTACCGAGGGAAAAATTACAGTTACACACAAAAACGCGAAGACAGTGGAAACCAAATTCTATTCCCTTCTAAAGAAGAAGATGAGGATTACCTGTAATTTATCATCCCCTTACAAATTGCTGTGTATTTGATTCTTTTTGTCATTGTTTTTTAAAAAACGTTTTTAAACCGTATCTCGTGTCTGATTTTATTGCTAGTGTCTATTAGTCGCGTGTTTTAATTGATCCTTGTTAAGTTATTTTAAACTGCTTTTATACTAATACATCAAGCCTTTTTTCCCCTCTCTGTTGCATAGGTTTTTCCTGTAGAACTAATTTGTATGCAACGGTGGGTTTGCGAACTCGCATAATTACCTGACTAACGGTGCGTGAAACGCTGGGACTTTAATAGCGTTTCATTTCCTCGAGACAGAACGGAGACAACAGTTGTGTAATAGTCAGACAAAATTGAAGTATAGACTTTTCAGTTGTTCCTTTGTGGATGTTTTGTTGATATATCCGAGTTTTTAGCGCTAAATAAGAAGACATAGGCCGTTTCTCGCGTTGCCAAGTGATCGCTCCTTTTTTCCTTTTAATAGACGGCATGTGATAAAAGATGGACTGGACTGGAGTGGTAAAACACGGACTGGATTAATGAAACATGGATTAATAAAACATGGAGTGAAATAACAAGGATTTATGACCAAGTAAGAGAAGGGTTTTTTCCTAGGTTTCATAGGATCTGAATATGACAAACATGACTTAGGTACAGTGATGTTCCAGTAGCTCCTGCTTTCTGTCACGCAATATTTCCAGTCGGAAATGAAATGAAATAGGGCCAGTTATATTTTATCTTACCTTTTCCCAAAAGGGTCACTTTTGTTTGCCAACAACAAAAGTATGTCGAATAAAATAGACAGTTTCAACAGTTACATTAATCATGCGTATTCACAAGCCGACAAAATGGCGAGGAAAGAAAAAATAAATTCAATCCGAGTCCGTTGGGATCAGTCAGAGGGCCATTGGTTTTTATACCAGCGCTTAAAATTGTGAAGTGTCACCCCCGCTGAATAACGTTACTTTACGTTACTTTTTGCCGTTGTTGTTGTTTTTAGTTTCACAAGAGCGTTGTTAGCGGACCTGCATCAGAGAAAAAAAATTATATTTAAAATGTTGACTCATTGGTTCATTCGAATCAATAGTTTACTGTTCCGTTCTTAAAAGTGAGCAGAACAAGAAGTCATGTTGACTGTATTTTATTTTATTAATCCATATCTCTCCATGTTTTATCACTCCGTGTTTTATTAATTTAGTCCATGTCTTACCAATCCAGTCCAGTCCATATTTTATCATTTGTTAGTTTTCACATGACGTCACTAAAAGTCAAACTACAAAACTATCGATCTTACCGAGATTTTACTTTCATGGTGTATTAGAGCAGCTGAAAACTAATTTCCGAACAAATTTCCGCTTCAAAAGGGTTCTTGGTTTTGTAATAGAGTACGCTTGAATTTCTAAGCCTTTGCGTGACGCAGCATTTACACGACGGCCGAGAGAGTCGCCGAGAGAGCTGTCATTTAGGTTTGAAAAAGTTACTTTTTTTCGAGGAATTTTGTTATCAAAACAGTTCAAGTATTAGAAAAAGTATTACTTTAATGTTTATGAGTTCCTCTAGGAGTAAATTCACGCTTTTGTGGCAAAACTCGGTAACAGATGTTTCTGTTGGTTTCCGTCCGCCATGTTGGAGCTCATCCGGGTGAGCTCCAGCATGGCGTCTCCATACAAAGCTCTATAAATTTGGGTAAAACATTTCCTCGGATATCTCTTATACGAATTATTCCTTCGACCCACATCTTGGCGAGGGTCTTTGTATATTTAACTCCTTTCATTTCCCAGATTGTGGACTTTATCTGTCAAATGGTTTTGACTTTTATGTCGATCTATTTTGAATGGCGTGACACTGAACACCAGCAATAGACGTTCCAGTAATAAGGGCTCAAGTTACTTAACGGGCAAGTCTAGGCAAGCCTATTGTTCCTATTGTGTTCTTCTCTTGTATCCACGTAATTATATATGAAGGAAGACAGTTATTAGTATGCAGGAAGACCCTCATTAGTATGGAGGAAGACAGTGATGCAAATTAATCAAAGGGAAGACAGGGGAAGACACCAACGAGGCTTAATTCGCAACATAGTAGACTACTGTCGCGCGCGCTTCATTTTCGCTTAACGTCCCAACTATCTAACAGCCTGGCACATCCTAGCCCTTACAATCAACCAGAAAAGAAGCTTTCTCATTAAAGGGGCTGTGTCACGGCAGTCCAGTTCATTTTGTTTAATTTTGCCAATTACTCGCCCTCAATCGCTATCGAACTTAAAGTAAGCAAAAAAATTACATGGAAATGACAAAACCAAAGATTCGAGACAAACAAATATGTCTCCTGAGCATTATTTTTGAAGTTGCAAACAGCAGAGATCAACTTTGAAAAAATTGTTAGGCTGAACAGTTTTCAAAAACCCTAATTGTAATCCATTTCAATCTTCTTCAGTTTTGCCCATCCGTGGCATCTGTTGTATCTGTTCTGTTATTTGAACCCTCCTTTAATGTTTTAAGCGGTTATTTTTACGTTTCTCTTATATTAACGAGCATTTTGTAATTACCTAATTTGGGTGAATTTCGTGACACAACTCCTTTAAGCGTGCCCGAAGACCAGCCGCGTTACATTTAACCTCTAAATGTTTATTTGTATTAAATTACGTCTGCGTCGTAGGGTTATTAATGCATGCTATCTACTTTAAAGCACAATAGTTCGACTCCAGCTTGGACAAGAGACCTAATTTCCCCGGAAAGAGATATTTCAGAAACGGGAAACTCAAAATCATGCGTGGAAAGTGTTTGGCAACAAGCCTTTTTCTTTTCTTTCTCTGTCTTGCCTTGTTAATTTATTACATTAATCTTTGGGCCCCTTCGGACGGCTTTGGTCCACCAAAACGTCCAAAATTGATATTGTCGTCGTGTTCGTATGAATTGAGGGAATTGAGGGCATTGCTGGGACCTTCTCTGGAGTCCTTTATCCAAGCATCAATTACAGAGGAAGGCAGAGAGCTACATTTTCCCGGACTGGCGGTAACTTCGAGACTCAAAGATGCTTGTCAACCCCTCACTGATGTGAGCAAGGCGAAAATACCAGCAAACAAGATCGCTCTCGTCATCCTTCAACTGGAAAATGAAACTACTTGTCCACTGCAAGACTTGGCGCTAGAAGCTCAGAGAGCAGGGTATTCTGTTCTTATATACTTCGGTTACTCTGCCAAAACAACCGCAATACATGTGCGAAGTAAAGAGATATTATTGATCCCGGTTTTAGAAGTTGAGGCTAAGATCTATGATGCTCAGTGTGCGTTTTTGTTCCCAAAAGCAAATAGAACAGATACAAACAAGGCGGAAATCAGCATACAGGCTGACAGACAGACAGGCAAAGAACTGAAAGCAATGAATTCTTACTTTCGCAAATTTTACTACTGGTTTCTTGTGGGGCCAATCATCACACTCGTGTGGATGATACGGACAAAGAAATTCTGTTGGCATTCCGGACGGCATGAAAGAAGTGAAAATCCATTAGAGCCGGAAGCGGAGAACCAAGTCGAGACTGATGCTGAAAGAGAAATTCGAACAATGGAGGAAGGCGAGAACAGAACTGGGGAGCCAGTACAGGTATTAGCATGCCGAGAAAAACCTGCTGAAGAACAACCCCTACTAAGTGCCGTAAGTAATGACTCTCGTGATAACAGATGTCGTCCTCAAGGAAGTGGTTCTGTTGAACACTACAGTGTTTGTTACGAAGCAGCGATAGGCTTTGGTTATCTGATTCTTATTTTAGCAGCTCTCCCAATAGGTTTGTCTTTTGGAGGACTATCCTTTTTTAGATTTGATGATGGAGACAATTTTATCGGTCCTCTTTGGTGGTCACCTTTTCAGATACTTTGCTTTTTCTTGTACAGCCACCTTGCCTGTAGAAATAAACGGAGATGGACATGGACTATTTCCACAACATTTTCAAAATTAATCCGAAATGACTGGTTCGCTTCGAACATTTATTTGCTAGTGTTGGGTTTTGTGGAGCCATTGTGCTCATTAGCAGGTTGGATGGATATCAGTTCTTTCGAGTACCTTGCAGTTTACAATTCCGTAAACACAGTATGTAATTTCCTTTTTTTAATCATTCTAAACAAGCACAAAGTTGTCACGCGCTACGTTTTCTACATCAGTGTGTGTATGATTTGCGCTTACATCCAGAGCGATGTTGTTGCTTTGTTTTATTTTGCACTCAATTCTAAAGGATCCTTACAAAACGTCAAACTCACAGCCATCCGAACAGCGGCAATTACTCTCACATTGGTTGTAAGTTTTAGGACCTCTATGCACATCATTCGCAAACTCATCAAGCCAAGGCAATCACTGTTTGAGGGACTTGGTGAACAGTGAGTGTTACAGTGACACCGAAACCCTCGGAAGAATCAGAACGTTTTCATATTTTTTCCCAGTTGATCGTTTATTGATGACTATCAAATGATTGGTTCTTTCTTGTTTTATAACAGTTAGATATTCTCTAAAGTCACAGGAGATCTTAGCAAGCTTTGCTTAGCTTTTTCAAAAAGATCCTATTAATTTTGTGAATCATCATACAGTTCTAATAATTAAAAGAATAGTCATTAAAATAACATTAAGTTACAAACATGATAGTTGAAATAGCGGTTTTGCTCAGTAAAGAGATTTCATTTTTACCGTGGAGTATATGTATACCTTAGCATAATTGTTTACACCTTCTATAACCAAAATTTCGATAAACACAATTATTAAATAGTTTCTCGTGTCTACTAATGCAAAGCATTCTTGTAAAAAAATTGATATTCAACGTACTATGTACTGATCTTTCTGAATTGGAAGGACCCAAAAGTTTTGAAGGTGCTTATAAATATATATTAAAATGTACACTTAGGCAAATGTATGAATCATTTTATTCGTGTACTCCTAATGTATCATTTAAGTTCGCATGTTTATATATTGAGAATCTGATTATGCTAGTGTGCTCGAAGTGAGTATTAAAGAATTTTGACTAACAGTACTACTTTGGTCCTGTTTCTTTTATAGCTAGAAAAATGGAACTCAGATTTGTTGTACTACTATTTTTTGTCTTTGACTCCTTCAGTCCTAGTCCATGCGCGAGATTATGTGTCCCCAAATCTGTGGCCGACAAAATTCTGTGCTGCCGTCCAAAAAACCTTCTTTGACAGAACTCAGGGGCGGATCCAGCGGGGTGAATTAGGTGGCTAGCCACCCCCCTTTAGGACAGCCCACGCCAAAAAAGTAATACGCGGAAAAACAAGGGATATACGTGCGTCCTCATGTGGTTTTCACATGACGTCACTAAAATTCAAACTAAAAAACTATCGATCCTACGGAGATTTTACTTTCACGATGCATTAGAGCAGCTTAAAACTAATTTTCATACAAATTTTCGCTTCAAAAGGGTTTTTGGTTTTGTGATAGAGTACGCTTGAATTTCTGAGCTTTTGCGTGACGTGGCATTTACATGACGGCCAAGAGAGCTGTCATATAGGTTAAAAAAATCACTTATTTCAGGAAATTTTGCTATCTAAACAGTTCACGTATTAGAAAAAGTATTACTTTAATGTTAATGAGTTTAAATGAGAATTTTTTATGAGAATAAATTCACGCTTTTGTTACAAAACTCGGTAACAGATGTTTCTGTTGGTTTCCGTCCGCCATGTTGGAGCTCATCCAGGGGAGCACCAGCATGGCGTCTCCATACAAATCTCTATAAGTTTGGGCAAAACATTTCTTCGGATATCTCGTATACGAAATATTCCTCTGCCCTGAATCTTGGCGAGGGTCTTTGTATAAGTACCTCCTTTTATTTCCCAGATTCTGGACTTTATCTATTGAACGGTTTTGATTTTTATTTTGATCTATTTTGAATGGCGTGATACGTGCAATTGCCATTCATGTAGCCTGTTCCAGCTCCGAGATAGTGATGAAAAGTCGTTCAGTAAAAAGAAATGCGAAAAACGCGCGGCGGCTGGGGAGAGACAGGGCGTTATGTTTCCAAGAATTTAAGGGCAAAAAATAATCATGTGATTCTAAGATCATTTTCTATATTACAAATCACGAGTTTCAAGAGCGGGACATCTGTCCCACAGTCCTATATCTTATGTCGATTGATTGAATTACTAAATCGCACGTGTGTCGGAAGTGGCCTATCATGTGATTCTAAGATCATTTTCTATAACAAACAAATCACGAGTTTCAAGAGCGTGACAGCTGTCCCACAGTCCTATATCTTATGTCGAGTGTTTCTCTAGCGGCTGCGTTGGTGTTTGAGAGTGTTTTAAAAGAGAAGAGCTAGCATAAATCTGGTGACTGTTGTTTGCATGTGCTTTCGCGACCAGTTTATTTACATGCTTTCACCTGTAAAACATTGGTACCGATGCAAGTTGAGGGTTTTGTGTAGAGCCCAGTCGGGAAACCAAACCTGCATAACGGGCGCCTTGCCAAGTTAGGCGAACGCAGTATTTTGCGCGAAGCGCGAGACGAGCTGTGGAGCCAGATGCTATGTGACTTGTAACTGTTTGGTTAGGAAACGATAATGTATGCACCTAAATTAGTACTTCTCTGAACATTTCGCGAAAAATTTTCAGATGAAAATACATATCGATATCGGCCCGGAAAACGTGTGCAAGATTTGATATTACAGTAAGTGATCATGAGTCATGTGATTACATGGATTCATACGATCGTTCATTTTTTTTTTTTTGTTTTTGCGGATTTTTGTTCGGATTTAAAGGCCGAAAGGATTTAAAGACCGTTCATTATTCTTGTCGTGGTGGGTTGGGAGCAGCCCCACCCCAGTGGGAGTAATGTTGAAATTGTCCCTGTATTTTAAATAGTTTGCATGGAGAAACTTCCTTTTTCCCTTTTTTTATCTGAAAAACAAATTTCTGAGGTTTTTCCTTTCTGTAGTTCTTGTTGTTGTTTTTTTCTAGTAAATGTGCATTTCGTATACAGCTCTCTGGCTTGGTTTTCGTTAGTGTGCTGTCCTTGATGAAAGATCATGTTGGTGATGAACACATAAAACGATATCATGAAAGAGTTTTTGACAGTGACATTATTATTGACACTCTTTGTGGCGGATCTTTTCTTCCTTGTGTCTTACCTGGGGTCATTTGTATAAAGGAGGCTTAGATTATAGACGAATAAAAACAAAGAGATTGACCAGGCTTAGCGTTTACGTCGAACGTAAAAATGTATGCAAGTGGTCCCTGGTTTATTTACATGTGGGAAAGTTGCTTTGAAGACCCAATTTTTTTCTAACCTTATCGAGTCAGTATTGTTTTACTCTGGTGTGGTAACGAGAAAAGTTAAAAGTGGAAAGCGGGATTTTCAAGATGGCGCAACCGGAAGAAACTCGATAGCATTTAGTACCGTTTTGTGCATGTGACGGGAAAAGGCCGGAAAATCACGGGGAAATAAAGGTTTACACTATTCCCGCCGGTCCCACCTTGTCCAAGACCCGCCCTTGGGGAAAGGAAAGGAAATTCCAAGATCTTTTTTCATTATTCAATCTCCAGAAATGTTCTATTTCCGGTTAAAGAGTTTTAATTTTATAAAGTGACTTAATAATGATGTCATTATAATAGAAAAATCGTGTTGTAACGAACTCTCACTCGTGGTCACTCGTGGTCACTCGTGGTCACTAGTGCCTCGTGGTCATTCGTAGTCACTCGTGGTCACTCGTGTGTACTTTTAGATACAATCGAGTCCAACATTTTCACGAGCAAATTCCGTTCGTGACAGTTTCTTAAAACCCTTGGGTTAATTAGATTAACTCGTATTCTCTCACACACGAACCAGGCGCGAAGGCAGCAAATTCCAAAGCTCTCTCCCGTGCAAACTGCGTGACAATACAACTCACAGTAAGGGCCTGATCACATGAGTCGGGCTGGCTAGCTCTGCCAAGATGACTTTAATTTCATGAAAAGGGCCAGCCCGGAGCCGCCATTTTTATAGAGATTGGAAGCAATGCACATGAGCAGAGCAGTGTGTTACCCGCTGTCCTGTTTCTTGCTGAGTTCATTCGTCGGGCCGCCCGGCAAGTGTGATTTAATACTTGGAAAATTTCCACCCGGGATCCCGGCATCACAATACTGGGATCCCAGCTAACGGAGCTCGCTCGGCTGTCATATAATTGCAAAGTTGATTTTTGAAGGTGCCGAGATCTCTGCAAAGCTAACCATCCTGGCTCATGTAATCAGACCCTTTGTTCTATAACCAGATTCTACGCCCTCTCTCTTGACCTCACCGATTTTTCAAAGACTCCGAACAGGCACACAAATTCCACCCCCCCTCCCCCCCACATCTACATTCCCGTTCTCTGTATTAAATGAACTTCCCCTTATCCACGTTCTCTCCATACAAATATTATCAAAAATAAACGAAAGACAATCCTAAACAGAAAGCCTAACAAGGTTTAAAATAAGTACAAGTATGTTCTCGAGAATTGATAAGATCTTTCAATACCACCACTTCATTTCAACAGACAAAAACTACACTATCCCTTCATAACCAAATTAGCACTCCCACAACTACCTCACTGTAACACGTAAAATCACTTTTACCTTTTAACAGTTTCACTGATTAACAAACTACAGCCATTAACTTACCAATCCACGTCCAATACAACTCCACGCCTTCCACTTCATACATCTCACTAATCCCTCAAATATACAACGCTACTGCACTACTCACACATCCCTGATACACATAAAAACCTTTACACACGCGTAGTACATTAACGCCCAAATATACGCTCCCACAGCGTCTTGTCTGACATTAGTTTGAGCCTCGACCAGTCCAAGCTGCAAGATAGCAGTGCAGTACGTTGTGCAGTAAAAAGTGATGGGAAAAAACCGCACGGGTACTGGAGGGAGAGAGGACACCACCAACTCCTTCCCTAAGTCGCGAGTAGTTATGCTTCAGCATTTTGGGCCCCTTTGGTAGATTCCCTTTGGATTCCCTCGCAAAAAGTGGATTTCCTTGATTACTTATGCAGGATTCCCTCGCGAAAAAATGCGTTTCTCTATATATAATTAAGTGCCTTCGTTCCTCCACATATAATTAAGTGGATAGTCGTTTCTTTTCTTTTGGAAGAACACAATAGGAACGATAGGCTTTGTCTAGACTTGCCCGTTAAGCAACTTGAGCCCGGTTTACCGGAACGTCCATTAAAAGGAAAATAGGAGCGATCACCTAGCAACGCGAGAAACGGCTTCTGTCTTCTTATTTAGCGCTAAAAACTCGGATATATCAACAAAACATACACAAAGAAGAACTGAAAACTCTATTTCAATTTTGTCTGACTATTACAGAACCGTTTTCTCCTATCTATCTCGAAGAAATGAAAAACAATTGAAGTCTCAGCGTTTCACGCACCGTTAGTCAGATAATTATGTGAGTTCGCAAACCCACCGTTGCATACAAATTAGTTCTACGGGAAAAACCCATGCAAGAGAGAAGAAAAAAAAGGCTTGACGTATTAGTATAAAAGCAATTTAAAACAACTTAACAAGGATCAATTAAAACACGCGACTGATAAATGCTAGCAATAAAATCAGACACGAGATACCGTTTTTTTAAGATTGAACTCAGGCCGTTTTTCCGGACCAGGTCATTCCGGCAATCATGGAGATGAAAAGATACTTGAAGCGAAACCGCTGACATTTTTGTGAAAATATTGGAAATGATTGACATCGGGTGAGACCAGCATTGCAGCGTTTAGACATCACGTGCCTTTACATACTATCCTTTCGACTAAAAGATTTTTCACAGACAGAACAGAACAAACTCATGTCAACTCTTCAGGAGCAGAATGTAGACTGAGAAAGAGGAAGAATGTTGAGCATTTATATAGGTTTACAAGCATAAAATTCCAATGTTTTCTCCCACCACCACCACCACCAAATTCAGTATTGTTTTCCCTCCACCACCACCATCACCACCGCCACCACCACATTTCTACATTCACTAGTCCAAGTCTTATACAACTGGAACACATTTCCATCCCCGAAGAAAATAAGCAGATATTGCTACCATATAAGGACGCTTTACTTGACCTGGCCAGACCGAATGTCCCTCACAAAACAAAGAAGCGAGTCCTTGTACAAGAGGTTAGTGGTTTTATTGAAGATGTATTAGCCCCTGTTGTATCAAGCTTGGAATTTTTAATGCGATAAAAGAGGTGACGCAAAGGCAAGTTGATCATTCTAAGCTACCTCTCTCACGGGTACTCATCAAAATGAAGAGAAAAATAGATTTGGTTGAAGAAGAACACGAGAGTGTACATGAAGAAAGAGAAAGTTCTGGTGATGAAAGTGAGGATGTAGAACCAAGAATAAAAGATGTTTTGAGACATCTTTCCCGAGCGGTAGCGGAAAAGAGTGCTTCTGATTTGCTGCATCGTATGGCCGCGTCCAAAGATATTCTTTTCTGGACTCCCCGCGGACAATTACTTCAAAATACACGCATTATTCCCGTCACAAACATCGCCTAGCTAGTTGAGTGTATGTTAGTCCCTCATAACAATGAAGTTAACAAGCCTTGAGGGCTGAATAAGTTTCTAGATGGACTTGCAGAGTTAGGAATCGATAAAGGTTTAATCAAGAACAAAGAGTTGTTAAGTGATTTAATAGAAAAGGAAAAAGGCTACCGAAATGCCGAAAATACTTCCGAGAACGAGAGTAATAATGAGGGGAGTTCATCGCATATTGAAAATCAGGAGGAGGAAGTGGCCTCTAGAATGGTATTGCAGCTGAAGGCACCTAAGAGAGCGACAATGACACTGAGAACGACAGTCAGGAAACAGAAAGCAGTAGCTCTGAAACGTCCACCACCTTTCACTCTAAAGGTCCCTGTGAACATTGCGTGAACTTCAATGTGTACTGGACATTGATCATGAAATGTCCTAAATGCTTTTGGCACCTTTACTACAAGATTTGTCCTATATGCGATCACCAGATTACCGAGGGAAAAATTACAGTTACACACAAAAACGCGAAGACAGTGGAAACCAAATTCTATTCCCTTCTAAAGAAGAAGATGAGGATTACCTGTAATTTATCATCCCCTTACAAATTGCTGTGTATTTGATTCTTTTTGTCATTGTTTTTTAAAAAAAGTTTTTAAACCGTATCTCGTGTCTGATTTTATTGCTAGTGTCTATTAGTCGCGTGTTTTAATTGATCCTTGTTAAGTTATTTTAAACTGCTTTTATACTAATACATCAAGCCTTTTTTCCCCTCTCTGTTGCATGGGTTTTTCCTGTAGAACTAATTTGTATGCAACGGTGGGTTTGCGAACTCGCATAATTACCTGACTAACGGTGCGTGAAACGCTGGGACTTTAATAGCGTTTCATTTCCTCGAGACAGAACGGAGAAAACGGTTGTGTAATAGTCAGACAAAATTGAAATATAGACTTTTCAGTTGTTCCTTTGTGGATGTTTTGTTGATATATCCGAGTTTTTAGCGCTAAATAAGAAGACATAGGCCGTTTCTCGCGTTGCCAAGTGATCGCTCCTTTTTTCCTTTTAATAGACGGCATGTGATAAAAGATGGACTGGACTGGAGTGGTAAAACACGGACTGGATTAATGAAACATGGATTAATAAAACATGGAGTGAAATAACAAGGATTTATGACCAAGTAAGAGAAGGGTTTTTTCCTAGGTTTCATAGGATCTGAATATGACAAACATGACTTAGGTACAGTGATGTTCCAGTAGCTCCTGCTTTCTGTCACGCAATATTTCCACTCGGAAATGAAATGAAATAGGGCCAGTTATATTTTATCTTACCTTTTCTCAAAAGGGTCACTTTTGTTTGCCAACAACAAAAGTGTGTCGAATAAAATAGACAGTTACATTAATCATGCGTATTCACAAGCCGACAAAATGGCGAGGAAAGAAAAAATAAATTCAATCCGAGTCCGTTGGGGTCAGTCAGAGGGCCATTGGTTTTTATACCAGCGCTTAAAATTGTGAAGTGTCACCCCCGCTGAATAACGTTACTTTACGTTACTTTTTGCCGTTGTTGTTGTTTTTAGTTTCACAAGAGCGTTGTTAGCGGACCTGCATCAGAGAAAAAAAATTATATTTAAAATGTTGACTCATTGGTTCATTCGAATCAATAGTTTACTGTTCCGTTCTGAAAAGTGAGCAGAACAAGAAGTCATGTTGACTGTATTTTATTTTATTAATCCATATCTCTCCATGTTTTATCTCTCCGTGTTTTATTAATCCATGTTTTATCACTCCATGTTTTATTAATTTAGTCCATGTCTTACCAATCCAGTCCAGTCCATATTTTATCATTTGTTAGTTTTCACATGACGTCACTAAAAGTCAAACTACAAAACTATCGATCTTACCGAGATTTTACTTTCATGGTGTATTAGAGCAGCTGAAAACTAATTTCCGAACAAATTTCTGCTTCAAAAGGGTTCTTGGTTTTGTAATAGAGTACGCTTGAATTTCTAAGCCTTTGCGTGACGCAGCATTTACACGACGGCCGAGAGAGTCGCCGAGAGAGCTGTCATTTAGGTTTGAAAAAGTGACTTTTTTTCGAGGAATTTTGTTATCAAAACAGTTCAAGTATTAGAAAAAGTATTACTTTAATGTTTATGAGTTCCTCTAGGAGTAAATTCACGCTTTTGTGGCAAAACTCGGTAACAGATGTTTCTGTTGGTTTCCGTCCGCCATGTTGGAGCTCATCCGGGTGAGCTCCAGCATGGCGTCTCCATACAAAGCTCTATAAATTTGGGTAAAACATTTCCTCGGATATCTCTTATACGAATTATTCCTTCGACCCACATCTTGGCGAGGGTCTTTGTATATTTAACTCCTTTCATTTCCCAGATTGTGGACTTTATCTGTCAAATGGTTTTGACTTTTATGTCGATCTATTTTGAATGGCGTGACACTGAACACCAGCAATAGACGTTCCAGTAATAAGGGCTCAAGTTACTTAACGGGCAAGTCTAGGCAAGCCTATTGTTCCTATTGTGTTCTTCTCTTGTATCCACGTAATTATATATGAAGGAAGACAGTTATTAGTATGCAGGAAGACCCTCATTAGTATGGAGGAAGACAGTGATGCAAATTAATCAAAGGGAAGACAGGGGAAGACACCAACGAGGCTTAATTCGCAACATAGTAGACTACTGTCGCGCGCGCTTCATTTTCGCGCAACGTCCCAACTATCTAACAGCCTGGCACATCCTAGCCCTTACAATCAACCAGAAAAGAAGCTTTCTCATTAAAGGGGCTGTGTCACGGCAGTCCAGTTCATTTTGTTTAATTTTGCCAATTACTCGCCCTCAATCGCTATCGAACTTAAAGTAAGCAAAAAAATTACATGGAAATGACAAAATCAAAGATTCGAGACAAACAAATATGTCTCCTGAGCATTATTTTTGAAGTTGCAAACAGCAGAGATCAACTTTGAAAAAATTGTTAGGCTGAACAGTTTTCAAAAACCCTAATTGTAATCCATTTCAATCTTCTTCAGTTTTGCCCATCCGTGGCATCTGTTGTATCTGTTGTGTTATTTGAACCTTCCTTTAATGTTTTAAGCGGTTATTTTTACGTTTCTCTTATATTAACGAGCATTTTGTAATTACCTAATTTGGGTGAATTTCGTGACACAACTCCTTTAAGCGTGCCCGAAGACCAGCCGCGTTACATTTAACCTCTAAATGTTTATTTGTATTAAATTACGTCTGCGTCGTAGGGTTATTAATGCATGCTATCTACTTTAAAGCACAATAGTTCGACTCCAGCTTGGACAAGAGACCTAATTTCCCCGGAAAGAGATATTTCAGAAACGGGAAACTCAAAATCATGCGTGGAAAGTGTTTGGCAACAAGCCTTTTTCTTTCCTTTCTCTGTCTTGCCTTGTTAATTTATTACATTAATCTTTGGGCCCCTTCGGACGGCTTTGGTCCACCAAAACGTCCAAAATTGATATTGTCGTCGTGTTCGTATGAATTGAGGGAATTGAGGGCATTGCTGGGACCTTCTCTGGAGTCCTTTATCCAAGCATCAATTACAGAGGAAGGCAGAGAGCTACATTTTCCCGGACTGGCGGTAACTTCGAGACTCAAAGATGCTTGTCAACCCCTCACTGATGTGAGCAAGGCGAAAATACCAGCAAACAAGATCGCTCTCGTCATCCTTCAACTGGAAAATGAAACTACTTGTCCACTGCAAGACTTGGCGCTAGAAGCTCAGAGAGCAGGGTATTCTGTTCTTATATACTTCGGTTACTCTGCCAAAACAACCGCAATACATGTGCGAAGTAAAGAGATATTATTGATCCCGGTTTTAGAAGTTGAGGCTAAGATCTATGATGCTCAGTGTGCGTTTTTGTTCCCAAAAGCAAATAGAACAGATACAAACAATGCGGAAATCAGCATACAGGCTGACAGACAGACAGACAAAGAACTGAAAGCAATGAATTCTTACTTTGACAAATTTTACTACTGGTTTCTTGTGGGGCCAATCATCACACTCGTGTGGATGATACGGACAAAGAAATTCTGTTGGCATTCCGGACGGCATGAAAGAAGTGAAAATCCATTAGAGCCGGAAGCGGAGAACCAAGTCGAGACTGATGCTGAAAGAGAAATTCGAACAATGGAGGAAGGCGAGAACAGAACTGGGGAGCCAGTACAGGTATTAGCATGCCGAGAAAAACCTACTGAAGAACAACCCCTACTAAGTGCCGTAAGTAATGACTCTCGTGATAACAGATGTCGTCCTCAAGGAAGTGGTTCTGTTGAACACTACAGTGTTTGTTACGAAGCAGCGATAAGCTTTGGTTATCTGATTCTTATTTTAGCAGCTCTCCCAATAGGTTTGTCTTTTGGAGGACTATCCTTTTTTAGATTTGATGATGGAGACAATATTATCGGTCCTCTTTGGTGGTCACCTTTTCAGATACTTTGCTTTTTCTTGTACAGCCACCTTGCCTGTAGAAATAAACGGAGATGGACATGGACTATTTCCACAACATTTTCAAAATTAATCCGAAATGACTGGTTCGCTTCGAACATTTATTTGCTAGTGTTGGGTTTTGTGGAGCCATTTTGCTCATTATCAGGTTGGATGGATATCAGTTCTTTCGAGTACCTTGCAGTTTACAATTCCGTAAACACAGTATGTAATTTCCTTTTTTTAATCATTCTAAACAAGCACAAAGTCGTCACACGCTACGTTTTCTACATCAGTGTGTGTATGATTTGCGCTTACATCCAGAGCGATGTTGTTGCTTTGTTTTATTTTGCACTCAATTCTAAAGGATCCTTACAAAACGTCAAACTCACAGCCATCCGAACAGCGGCAATTACTCTCACATTGATGGTAAGTTTTAGGACCTCTATGCACATCATTCGCAAACTCATCAAGCCAAGGCAATCACTGTTTGAGGGACTTGGTGAACAGTGAGTGTTACAGTGACACCGAAACCCTCGGAAGAATCAGAACGTTTTCATATTTTTTCCCAGTTGATCGTTTATTGATGACTATCAAATGATTGGTTCTTTCTTGTTTTATAACAGTTAGATATTCTCTAAAGTCACAGGAGATCTTAGCAAGCTTTGCTTAGCTTTTTCAAAAAGATCCTATTAATTTTGTGAATCATCATACAGTTCTAATAATTAAAAGAATAGTCATTAAAATAACATTAAGTTACAAACATGATAGTTGAAATAGCGGTTTTGCTCAGTAAAGAGATTTCATTTTTACCGTGGAGTATATGTATACCTTAGCATAATTGTTTACACCTTCTATAACCAAAATTTCGATAAACACAATTATTAAATAGTTTCTCGTGTCTACTAATGCAAAGCATTCTTGTAAAAAAATTGATATTCAACGTACTATGTACTGATCTTTCTGAATTGGAAGGACCCAAAAGTTTTGAAGGTGCTTATAAATATATATTAAAATGTACACTTAGGCAAATGTATGAATCATTTTATTCGTGTACTCCTAATGTATCATTTAAGTTCGCATGTTTATATATTGAGAATCTGATTATGCTAGTGTACTCGAAGTGAGTATTAAAGAATTTTGACTAACAGTACTACTTTGGTCCTGTTTCTTTTATACCTAGAAAAATGGAACTCAGATTTGTTGTACTACTATTTTTTGTCTTTGACTCCTTCAGTCCTAGTCCATGCGCGAGATTATGTGTCCCCAAATCTGTGGCCCACAAAATTCTGTGCTGCCATCCAAAAAACCTTCTTTGACAGAACTCAGGGGCGGATCCAGGGGGGTGGATTAGGTGGCTAGCCACCCCCCTTTAGGACAGCCCACGCCAAAAAAGTAATACGCGGAAAAACAAAGGGATATACGTGGGTCCTCATGTGGTTTTCAGATGACGTCACTAAAATTCAAACTAAAAAACTATCGATCCTACCGAGATTTTACTTTCACGATGCATTAGAGCAGCTGAAAACTAATTTTCATACAAATTTTCGCTTCAAAAGGGTTTTTGGTTTTGTGATAGAGTACGCTTGAATTTCTGAGCTTTTGCGTGACGTGGCATTTACATGACGGCCAAGAGAGCTGTCATATAGGTTAAAAAAATCACTTATTTCAGGAAATTTTGCTATCTAAACAGTTCACGTATTAGAAAAAGTATTTCTTTAATGTTTATGAGTTTAAATGAGAATTTTTTATGAGAATAAATTCACGCTTTTGTTACAAAACTCGGTAACAGATGTTTCTGTTGGTTGGAGCTCATCCAGGGGAGCACCAGCATGGCGTCTCCATACAAATCTCTATAAGTTTGGGCAAAACATTTCTTCGGATACCTCGTATACGAAATATTCCTCTGACCTGAATCTTGGCGAGGGTCTTTGTATATGTACCTCCTTTTATTTCCCAGATTCTGGACTTTATCTATTGAACGGTTTTGATTTTTATTTTGATCTATTTTGAATGGCGTGATACGTGCAATCGCCATTCATGTAGCCTGTTCCAGCTCCGAGATAGTGATGAAAAGTCGTTCAGTAAAAAGAAATGCGAAAAACGCGCGGCGGCTGGGGAGAGACAGGGCGTTATGTTTCCAAGAATTTAAGGGCAAAAAATAATCATGTGATTCTAAGATCATTTTCTATATTACAAATCAGACGACGATCGAATAGTATCCCATAATGCACCTCGATTCATGTTATATTATCACTGCCAGGGGGGGCTGGCAACGGCCTTTGATCTTGCCGCTTTTCGGCTTTCCATGATCGCCCCAGTTAAGAAATCTGTCAATCATCCGAGAACTGTAGCGAGCATGTGCGTAACGGGTTGGGAATAACAGCAGCAAGTTCGTCTTCGCAGCGATTTCAAAGAGTGAAGTGAATTCGCTTTTGGTCCACCTGTTGGTCAACGCTTTCTTTGCTATAACTAATTTTTTTTCGCGGGAATGTGGAGCTTACGTTTTCCTCTCTGGTCTTGCGTTTGTCATAGTGAACCCAGTGTTCCTCGATGTCCGACCTTTTGACTATGTGTTTCTGTTTAGAAGACCAAGACTAAAAGAAGTGCGTATGTTAGTAGAGTTTATATTAATTTTCAAGTTGTTTCAAGTGAAAGGCCCAAAATTAATTCTTCGCGATATTAAAACAAGTGCGGTGGCTGTGGTTGAGTAGAAGAGTTGTCAGAGTTGTTTACGGTTTTACTACACCTTTAAGACGACAAGACATGATGATTGAGATTCTTAATTTTACATCCTTCATTGTGAACTTATCCTGGCAGAGTTGCGTTGGATGATTGAGTGGCATGGTCAAATCTCGTACTTCATGTATTTCTTTATGTACTAGAAGCTAAATAAATTTTGCCAAGAGATCATTCTCTCTTGATTTTGCAGTTAATTTCGTTCTTCTTATGATTTAATTTAAACTTTACCGTAGTTTCTAACAAATGAATCTTACGCAAATGAAAGGGTATAAATTATTTTTTGTTTGGAATTCTCTTTTCATGACAGCAGTTATTACACTGCCTTCAGTTTGAGTCCTCATTCAAGTGTGTTTTGTTGCAAACAAGGAGGGAAAAATTATAAATTCCAAAAACTACACTTAACCCCTTGGAACGAGATTACGGTTTAAAAAAGATGAAATTAGCTAGGTTCAGAAAATAAATGTTCAAGTTTGCATGTTTTGACAAGGACCACATCTGGCTAAATATGCTTCAAAGGGAATTTATAAAGTCAGGAAAATGGTGACATTTCTATTTTTGCCTTTCCTTTGGCCACTGTGATCAGTTTTTGTCATACAGTTGCATGTAATTTTTTTCGCTGTGGCTATATGGCCGGTAACCGGTCAAGGTTTTTAAAACACTAAATGACCGGCAGTCCGGTATTTTCAATAAATTTGACTTATCGGCTAAGAATCCCAACCTATCCAAACTATCATATGTCGATTAAGAAAAGTCAAGCGATCCTGAAATGCTTTATAGATCTCTCAAGTCTAGCGTTTGGTTTACGCTGGGCTCAGAAAACGAAACCATGTTTTGTTACACTTGGAACTTTTTTCAGGTCGACTGCCGGTCAAGGGGTTTAAAACACTAAATGACCGGCAGTCCTATATTCTCGATAAATTTGATAAATCGAAAAAATCCATCTAATCTAAACTATCATATGTCGATTAAGAAAAGTCAAACGATCCTGAAACACTTTATAGACCTCAAGTTTAGCGTTTGGTTTACGCTGTGCTCAGAAAACGAAACCATGTTTTGTGACACTTAGAACTTTTTTCAGGTCGACTGGCCGGTCAAGATTGTCAAAACACTATAAATGACTGGCAGTCTACCCTGCTAGAGTCCTGCTAGCAGAGTCGCTTTGATCTTTCGTAGATAAGTCGTTAAAGGGGATAGAGGAAAGAGGAAAGAGGAAAGAGGAAAAAGGAAAGAGGAAAGCGGAAAGCGGAAAGAGGAAAGAGGAAAGAGGAAGCTGCAAACAGTTCAAAGTGTCACGAAACATGCATGGTTTCGTTTTCTGAGCACAGCGTAAACCAAACGCTAAACTTGAGATCTATAAAGTGTTTCAGGATCGCTTGACTTTTCTTAATCGACATATGATAGTTTAGATTAGATGGATTTTTTCGATTTGTCAAATTTATTGAGAATATAGGACTGCCGGTCATTTAGTGTTTTGAAAACCTTGACCGGTTTAATACCGGCCATATAGCCACAGCGTAATTTTCTACATCTTTGGACATCAACCTGCCAGGTTAGTTTGTGTCTGTACATAAATGTAGTTAATGAAGTCAAATCCTCTCAACTTAAAAATTGCCTTGTACTTGAATATGAAAAACACCATAGGATGCCTTGGAAAAAAAATGTAAAATCATATTATTAAGATAATATATTTATTTGTAGTTAACAATAACGGTTAGAACTTGTGTTGAGGCCGCCAAAACCTTTCTCAGAGACCATAAACATTCACTGACTTTGCTGTTACAACAAGTGGTAAAAGGGTATTAAAATGTGAGATTACCTCCCTGGGCTTTCACTCAAAGAGAGTATGGGTAGTAGGACACATTGTTTATTTCCCTACCCTTTTTAAGCCAAGAGACCTTATTTTATAATTCTGATTCATTTCATTTAGCATACAGAATTAAGTTAGCTTTTAAACTTAGAAACATGGAAAAAACTTGGGGAAAAAATGGTGATACAAAAAATGTAACTATAGATTGCTCTTCATCAACCTTCACAGCCCAAACAGACACCCTGTTCAAAACTCTAAAGGGTGAAATGGTCACCACCCTAAATCAGCAGCACATACCCATCTAGGCCAAATAAGCCAAAGATAGTATCGTAGAAAGAACTGTTGAGGGGATTGGGCTTAAGGGACACTAACTTCTTTTGATGGTTGATAAAAAATCAATTTTACCTTGTTTGCTTTTGTTGTAAATCAAATTCATAACTTTCACAAACAATATTGAAGTTGTACATTTTTCAAGCTCCTTCTGATTCTCTTTATAAACTTTGCAAAACATTCAATTCTTTTTTCTGTTTCTTGTAGCTCAGTCCTTTGAGGGATT